TTTGCATCCAAGAAACTCCCTGAAGTTCAATACTTGGTCCTTGAAACATCAATACAATAAACATCGCTTCTGAAAGACACCTGAGGTGGCTGCCTCAAAGCTCAACTCTTCAGGCATTTCAAAGCAGCACCTGAAGACACCCCATAGGGGTTCGAAGAGAAGCCCTATTAGATTTAACAAGAGCTGTGGTCTGCAGTGCTCCAGGGAAAAGTGGAGGCTGAGCCGTGGACGAGCGCGCAGGGCAACGAGGACTTGAACACCAGCGGCCCGAGACGGCCCTGCCCGAGGAGCAGGGACAAGCGGCAGCCGAGACAGCGGCACTCCCGGCACCCGAGGGCAGCGCCCGGGCCCGCGGCTCCGGCCTCACACCGCCCGGGGACCCGCGCAGGCGCCGGCCAGGTGGGGAGGGGGCCCGCCGTGCTCAGGCCCAGCCCGCCGGAGCGGCGGCGGCGCCTGGTGCTCCCTCACCTTTTCCTGAGGCGGGCACCAGCTTCCACATCCTGGAGCTCTCCGGCGAGCCGGGACGAGGCCGGAACGGGGAAGGAGAGCCCCACGCGCCGCCGCGACCCCGCGCGCGGGGCCGGGCCGAGGGCGGGCCGGGGGAGAGGGCGCCGCCTACCGGGGCCGTGGAACTGCTGCAGCCACCGTCCCGCGCGCGTGCGCGGCCGTGGGCCCGGCGCGGCCCCGTCAGGGCCGTGTCCTTGTCACGGCGGCACCTCCCGGTACCCCCGGGGAGCTGCCGGTCCCTTCCGCTCCGCGTCAGCGTGGGCCGGGACTGACATCTTCAGCCGAGGCCCCGCGGGTGGGTTGTGTCCCTCTGTCCTGCCCTTCTCAGTGCGCTCATATCCCTAATAAAGTGCATTGCATGCGGAACAGGAAACGTTCTAGACATCTCTTAACTGAAAGAAAATTTTGGAAAAAAAAAATAGAATTTTAAATAAAATACACCTGGGAGCTCGAAGGCCATTCGGCAGATTACCAAAGACTTGACTTACACTGACTTTTCTGGAAACAGCAGAGGAAGCCACGCGTGCATGACTGCAGTCACACACATTTGAGGAATGGCTCAAAATACCAATTTCTCCTTGTGCTAGGCAGCTCACAGGGAGAAGGGTATCAAACTCCTCGTGTCCATGATCACATCAGCCGCAGTTGGAGAGCAAATTCCTTCCTACCGGGCAGTCGGCTTACTTCTCAAATAATGAATAATGGTAATTGTTTGCCCCTTAACTTTGCAAAATAGCGAAATCTTTTGAAGTTACAACCACAGTTAAGAAGTTTTAGTATAAAAAAAACACTCTGGGGAGTTGAAATGGGGAGGGGAAACTCAGGATAACATTTTTCTAATAGAAAATATTAATCTAAAACATACAGAAATGTTAATGTGAGCTGTCAGAAATGTTTCTGTAGTATCATAATCTGTTTAATCTCCATGTGACTTTAAGTATCCTTGGTTCTTAAATGTTCATTTAGATACCTTTTTAGATTTTCCTAAGCTTCTAAGATAAATGATCAGTCTCTCTTAATCTCTTTCCTTCTGAGTTTTCTCCATCTTATTTGCTTGTTCTTTTTAGTCTCTCATAATTTTGCCATTTCAGTTTTGAGCTAAAGTGACCAGAAATATACAATATAACCTAATGAGACTATTTCTCAGCTTTATATAACTGTACTTAAGTATTTTCTGTATTGTTGTCATTATTTTATGTCTTATTTAACCTATTGGCTTGACTTCTGTGACCAACTCATATGACAAATCATAATCATAAGAAACTGTATGAATCATATAAACCCCTTTAAATTTTCCTGCATTTATCCAATTTTATTTTACTTTATTTTTGTGGTATCATGGTTTCCCATTCATTTATCTTCTAGACTTCGTGAGTTCTTGCGGTCTGACTGACCTAGCTGTCTGTCCTCTAATATTTGTTGGTTTTCTATTTGTTCCTTTTTTTCAATTCACAGAAAAATGATTCAGCAGTTCAAAAGTTAGAGACTATCAGAGCAGAAAGGGGCGTTTCAGATACTCATATGGACCACAGGCTTAACTTGCATCTAACTTTTGAAATAGTACCACAGCTGACACCTGTGAAACCGTATCTAAACAGAATATCAAGGCAATCTTTCATTAACATTTGCTCTTAACAGAAATTTAGATCAGCATTATGTCCATATTTTATTCCTGACCTAGGATTTTTTTTTCCTTAGTAGTCTTTTGTGTCAAAAGTCTCTTTTATTTTTAAACTTTATCATCAGGTGCTATTGCATTTCTTTCAACAAGGTAGTCTGAGTGGCAGAAACAGCACTGGCATGCAAGTTTACAATGGTGACTGAGGTTTCTGCTGAACTCTGTTATGCCACTTGGCTTAATCCGTGAAAATCTAAATTATGCCTGCCAGCTCTTACATATTCGTCACCTCTTAGGTATTTCTGTAAGAGGTGATTAAGACATCATTACCTTTGCAGAAGTCTAGTCACAGACAGACACTTTCAGATCATGCTTTTCTGGGTATTACATTTTTTGATTACTTTTTCCCCTACAGATGTTAGATTTAGTCTTATAATTTCTCATGTTACCCTGGAAGATTAAAAAACGAAAAAAAAAAACCACCAAAAATCCTAACAGATACTTTCTGCTTTAAACCTCCTGGCATGCTTTAAAACAGAGATTGGATGCTTCAGTATTTCAGTTAAGCTGTTCTTAAACTCTTTCTAAACTTATAAATCACCCAAAATGAAGTAGAATTTTAGAAAGTGGGGTAGTAGCCTATTAAGCCAATTTATTTTCCTTGTAAAATGCTGGTAGTTCTTCCTTCAATTATATTTTTAGATTTTTTGGTTGGTTAGGTGATTTTTTTTTTTATTTTTAGTTCAGTGATTACATATCTCTTGAGACTCAGTATGTTTTGAATTAATTAATTTTAATCAAATGTTACCATGTAAATCTTAGAATGTCAGAGTCTCGGACACCTATCAGATATGCAGTTTTAATGGTACTGTGGAAACTACTGCCTAGCGGTGTGGCACTATTGCTTCAGTGGCTGCCAGATGGTGTGCAGCACCTAGATGTTAGGTACTCTAGAACTTACTGCACCAACAGAGCATCAACATTATTTTTTTTTTGTTTTTTCTAAATGTTGAACATTTAGAAAAATAGCTGTTTGGCCATTTGGCAATGATGACTAAGCTGTAAGATTTGAAGTCTGATGGCTCTGAACTCCCATAGCAGCGTGTGTTCAGTTTGCCCTGAATTCAAAAATTGATAGTATAGACCTAGTGATAGTTTTTTTGTCTTTCATGGCAAGTTTTCTAACTGCACAGATTCATCAAGTGTCGTCTCTTCCCCTCAAAACCAGCAGCTTTATTAAATCTCTATGTTCTTACAGGTACCATTCATTTTCCTCACACCCTTACCCTCTCATTCCTTATGGGCAGATATGACTCTGCAGGTTTCTCTGCCTTATTACCCAGGCTGTGCAAATGGGTAGGTATCAGTCAGTCATTACCTTTCTGGTTGGCCAGTCTATGTGCTCAACATAGATAAACTGAATGTCTTGTTACCTCAACATAATCCCCTGTCACTGAATGGCTTAATGTTCGCAGACTGCTCAGGCCTTTTCTGAACTCCCTTGACAGTGCTGAATTTGAAATGAGGAATCTTGATCTTTCTGATAAACTTTGCCTCATGGCAGTCAGCCAGTGTTGGTGTGTGCGGTGGAGCCAGCACAGAGCCTCTGTGCTGCTGCCCAGGAGTGATCTGTGAATGCACAGTCTCACCCCAAATCAGGCCGCATGTTACCCACTCCATTTGAAATCCCATTTATCAGACAGCTGTGCCACCCCTTTTCTCGCATTCCTTAAATAAACAACTCTCCTCCCCCAAAAACACACACCAAAAACTGGCCACCATGCTAAGGGTAGAGGGCACAGAAAATCCTGGGTTTAGATCACAAGGAAAAAAACAAAACAAAACAAAACAAAGAAAACAAAACAAAACAACAACAACAACAAAATCCTAACAAAAACAAACAAACAAACAAACAAACAAAAATCCAACAACAACAAAAGGAAGAAGATAGTTATTTAGTGTCCTTTAAGTAGCACTGAGTAAATCACAGTAATAAAACCCCAACTCAGTGAAGCAGTTAGCCTGAACCCTGACCCTCACAGCTGGAACTGGAGGTGCCAAGGTGGTGGCAGTGGCCATGAAGGTGCCCCTGTGTTTTCCAAAATAGGTTCTTTCTCCCAGTGTGCAAGAGGCCAAATCCTCGCAGAGTCGAGGTATTTGATTGATTTACAGTTCTGTGAAGAAAGGGGTGCTGGGTGATAAGTCCACAAAGCCAGCACAACGACTTCCAAAACTTTTCACTGAATGTATATTTTAGCAAATAAAGACACTAACATGCATTGTCCTCTTTTTAAAGAGTATTCTATCTTCTACTGGTTAATGATTCTGTCACTTCTCAAGCTAATTAGTCCGCAGGCTCAGTCTTTCTCTTTTGGGTCCGTGGGCGTCTTCCCCTGCCAGAATTAACTTTTACCCAGTCGGAGTTGATTTCACCACAGTTGCTGAGTTGTCTTTATTAGCTTCTTTCCTGTCTTCGGGTTCTGCTAAATGTCCTTGTGGTCTGTAAATTCTGCATTCTTCGTGTCCACTATCAGTGGTACATCCTTTTTCCCGAGCTTTGTTAACCTCCCGTCTGAGATAGCTGAAACATAGATAGCCTTAAACCCTTAACAAGTAATTTGCCATTCTAACACCTGGACGTCGCTTACAGCTTGCTTATTAGCTGCTGTTTCACGGACTAAATCTCCTTTCTTGTGGATTACGCTTGAAAGCGGACAAAGATCAAACACCAAAGAACATCCTTTCTTAAGAACATTTTTACACATTCCACATTTCGCAACACCTGGGGCGGCGGCGGCCTCGCCGGCTCCGTGCCCTCAGCGGCTCAGACGGGCGTGGCCGCGGTGCCCGCCCGGTGCCGCCCGCGGCGCCACCCCCGCGGGGCAAGATGGCGGCTGTGGCGGCGGCGGGGCTGTGGCGGCGCGCGGTGCGCGGCTCCTGTTTCTGTGGCAGCGGGAGGGTAAGGCGGTCCCTGCGCTGCTGGGGCTCAGCGGGGACGGCGGCGCCTCGGGGGTGCTTCGCCACCTCCTGCCCCCCTGCCCCGGTTTGCCGGGGCGCCCTTGTCCCCTCTCAGGGCACGGCGGGACCCTGCGGACGGTTTCTTGCTGTCGTCGGAGCTGTGTCGAGGGGCGGCTCAGGCCGGAGGAGGTCTCCGGCCGCTGGTCTTGGGGAAACAGCCAGGAACCCCCCCGAGAGTGGGAACACTCCTCGGTTCTCCTCAGCTCCCGGCTCTGTCTCGGAGCCCCCGCAGAGGACGCGGCCCCTGCCCACGGCCGGGCAGTTCCCGTATCTCCCATTTCAGTGCGGGCTGTGGGGGCATTGGCGTCGCCCTTTGCCCCCAATACCAAAGCTGTTTGGGTAACGTGGTTTGAATGTTGCTGTCCAAACTGTGGCGTGGCTGACTTGTGACCGTGGTGATCTTATTGCAGCATTCCAGTACCTCAGGGGAGCCTACAAAAAATCTGGAGAAGGGCTTTTTAAAACGGCATGTAGTGGCAGGACAAGAGGGAATGTATTCAAACTGAAAGAGAGTAGGTTTGTATTGGATATGAACAGGTTGCCCAGGGAAGTTGAGGATGCCCCAGGTTGGATGAGATTTGAGCAGCCTGGTCTGGTTGAAGGTGTCCCCGCCCATGGCAGGAGTTTTGGAACTAGATGATCTTTAAGGTCCTTCCCAATCCAAACCATTCTGTGATTGGGGGTTGCTGGAGGCTGTTCCTAGTGAGTTCTCCCAGGGCACAGTGCTTCTTACCAGTGACTGCTTATGTGTTTCTGAGATGACTTTCTGCAGTAATTTCACAAGTCACTTCTACCTCCTGAGTGAGGGTTGTTTTATGGCTTGTCTATGATTTGGATGTTTGTTGGGTGTTTTGGTTTTTTTGTTCTAGTTTTGTTGAAACAGTTTCCTGGCTTCTATATATCTCTGTTTACACCTGAGGCATAATTTAAAACCTTGACCTTAAATAGTAGAATGATTAAATTGAGTGGATCCTGTCGTAGAAGCCCCTTGTGCAAGCTAGTAATGAGACGATAGCTGTCTAATGAAAAGATTGCTGAATTATACCGACTTCACTTCACTGGCTTCTGGATATCATTACAGTACTTTATTAGTCTTGGTGCAGTCTTCTGCCAGCCCCTGCTATGGCCTGTTTCCTAATCTTCCTCCCTGGAGCAGAAGGAAAGCTGCTTGCATGGTTTTGTAGTGGTGAGCAAGACCAGTGGCTGTGTCTGTCATTTAACAGAGCACCTAATCAGGGAGCCTCAGTACTGCCTAGGGGTTATGTCCCTATCCTGAAGGAAGAGGGAGTCTGAGTGCTGTCTTGATTTGCAGTCTCTGCCTTCAGCTGAAGTTCTCCAGTGGGAGCTTTTCTCCTGAAGAGAGATGAGTAGGAAACTAAGAAAGTCCCAAGAGAGAACCTTCATACTTCCCTTTTCTGGAGGCTTAGTAATAATGTGGTACTCTGTCAAAGTATGCAAATTTTATTTTCACTATAGAATTAAAAAAAAAAATCAGTATTTTACAAACTTTACAATTTTTTAGTAGTGGATCTGAAGAATTGTATTATTTTAGAAAAATGTGATATTCTTCAGAATTTCCTTTTGGTCTACTTGTGTTCCTTAGAACTACCTTTTGTTTCTTTTTTTTTCTTTTTTTAGTTTTTTGTGACAAACCTATTGCACAAAGCTGAAGAGTCCAAGTTCCAGAAAGAATCCCTGAAGTACACACTTGATACAAATGCTGTAGGGCTTACTGCACTGCTTTACTTTTGTGATAATTCTAGCTTTAGTTCAAGCTTTACTTTCTGAATTTTGTTACCCACAGCTCTTCTTCACTCCTAGCTTTTCACAGAATATTCTGAGTTGGGAGGGAGCTACGTGGATCATCGAGTCCTACTCTTAAGTGAATGGCCTGTACAGGGATTGAACCTGCAGCTTTGGTGTTATTAGCATCATGCTTTAGGCTCCATTAAATTGTCACTGTAGTTCCATGATTGTTCTCTCTGTTTTCACTTGTATTACTTATGCAGATGTATTACCACACAGAAAGATTCACATGCACGCTTTCTCAGACCAGATTTAAGCCCTGTGAAACCCCCAGTGCATTGTAGCTTTGGCATGTACAGGTTAATCATCTACCACTAAAAGTGTTATTTTTTAATTTTAGTGCTGAAAATGTTAGTACGGATTATTATTAGAGAAAATAAATATAATTTACAGTCTTCTAATTTTTTGCAAATCAAGTCTAGTTTTGTCGTACTTGAAAGTGTTTGCAGCTTCAGGTTAAGGTAATTTTTGTATTCTAAATAATAAGGGAATTTCTGAATTATTGCTGTAATGCTGCTGTCCCAAGGCATTTAATTCAGTCATTAGATTAGGGCTTGAGTTAGTTTAATGTATTGGGATGCTAGAAATATCCTCTTAGCTGTTTTTGTTGTGACTTTCCTGGTGACATCAAAATTGCTGATTGAATTAGTGGGATGTTTTCTTACTGGTATAGTTTGCTAGATGTAATATTGAATTTTCTTCTCTTTTCATGTGTGTTTTTAAACACATTCCAAATATGTCTTTTTGTAGGGACCAGTTCTTGAGAGGCTAATTTACTGTAAATGGTATTTCTGCAGGGACAGACTGTGATACTGGTAACCAGACCGCACTCAGTTTTGTCTGGGAGATGACATTGGTTTCCTTAGCAGCACCAGAACCGATTGGGACAGGTCTTGTGGAGTTTGATTCTGTCCCATTCTCCAGTAAAGAAGGTGGTTTTGTTGCCTGCAGCAGTAGAGGATCGAAACCTTTTGCAGTAGTAAAGGATCAAAAGCTTTTGAATTTGTAAATATGTACAGATGTAGCCTCTGAATCACATGGATTTTTTTATGCATAAAGTTCAGTGCAGATATGAATCCCAAGCCCAAATTCTACTGGCAGTCAATAATTAGTTGGTAATGGTTTTCCACATGCTTTAGTAAAAGCTATAGACACAAAAATACACAAAATAGCAAGAATCATGGTTAAAATATTTTCTCCAGTTGTAATGGAATATCTAAAAATAGTTCAAGTGCTTTCCTAGTGTAGTGTTAGCGTCAAAGTGAAGGTCCGTGTGTGTTGCTATAATACAATCTGGTCATTCTTACATTCAGTTTATAATTAAGGCAGTTATGGTTGTTACTTCCACTGGCATAAGAAAATCTGATCTTGTGTAACAATCCTGTATACAGAAAGGAGGGAAAAAACTAACTTTTCTCTTAATTTCTTTCAGTTTTTCAGCCGTGGGCCAAATGTGCTGCATCAAGACAGCAGTGCACCACAAGCTGCATTCTTTTCACCTCTTCAAAAAGTGATGTTGCCACCAAATACCTTCCAGGGGAAAGTGGCCTTTATAACTGGTGGAGGTACTGGGCTTGGCAAAGGGATGACAACAGCTTTGTCCAGTTTAGGTGCCAAGTGTGTTATAGCAAGCCGGTAAATATTAATGAAGATGTTTTAGAGCTGTCATTTAGTACCAAATACTGAATAGATCTGTTTTCTTCTTCATAAACTGGAAAATATTATTCTATTTATTCTACTTCAGTGCTCTTTCAAGTTATAATGTCATGTTCTGGATTCTATAAACTTGCAGATCCATCTACAGATGGCTAATTGGGTAAAAAACAATAGGAAGAAATAAACCAAATGCTTTTCTGTGAAATGTGGCAGCAAACAACCCTGAATATTAAACATAAATTCAACTAAAGCCTTAAGGAGAACAAAAAATAATATATTATTACAAGTGTTCTTGAGACAGATTTGAATCGCAATAGAGAATTAAAGCCATTCCTCTTCTGACTTTAACAAGAGTCCTGGTTTTCCCTTGATGAAGATGATCTTTCTGCAGCTCTTTTAAGTAGCACTGCAGTAAAGTCTAGAAAAACAATCTAATTTTTAATCAAATTAAACAGAAGTATTGTGACATTCATCCAAACAGTGGTTTAGTTAGTTTTAAATCTCAATATGCATCTCTTAATTAGTGCTAGTAGAGTAGTAGCTAAACTATGTGTGATGATTGTATATTCTGAAAGAAAATACTTTTTCTAGCTTGTGACGTGCGATTAACTTTAGATAGTCTCTTACTGTAGTCACTTTTGAGTTGCTTTGAAGTAGCACTAACCAGAAATTACTTAGCTTTGAAGTTTTCATTCAGCAGGTTAGTGTCTAAACATAGTCTTAATCTTAAAGCTCAGTTTTTGTGAAAATCAGCAACATGCATGTGCACAAACACCTTTATTAAGTAGTAGCTCATCCTTGCTCAGAAAATCATGAGATTTTATTAATCTGAATGGTAATTGCATTTAACTGAAATAAGGGATGTTGTCTACTTATTTCTAGGAAGCTTGATGTTTTGAAAGGAACAGCAGAAGAAATTTCTTCTAAAACAGGGAATAAGGTACATTTTTAAGGGATTGTGAATATGTTACTTATTGTACTTTTTAGAATTTTTTTGGATTGATGTGCTTCTGTGGACTTGTTTAGCCTATGAGTGACATAGTTTTCAAGTCTAACAACTGCCTTTCGATTATTATGCAGGTTCATGCCATCCAGTGTGATGTGAGAGATCCAGTTTCAGTTAAGAATGCTGTTGCTGAAACAATCCAACTGGCAGGACATCCTGATGTAAGTGTTTTACAGAAAGGAAAGAACTTCATTTTTCATTACTGAAAATACTTTGCACAGTAGGTATGAAGAAAACTACTATGCTAGAAAGTTAGTGGAATCTAAAGAGACACTAGACTGAACAGTGGCAGTACTTCAAGGTAAAGCAAACATTAATAGTTAGACAAGAACCACTCTGTTCCTGTGGTTCTTAAAATACTTAGAGGCCAGGTGGACAAAACATCCTTATCTTTACTCTGAGGATTAATATTTTCTTTTAAACAGTAGGACAATTCTGATGGGATTCTTTGAATTAATTAAGTGAACAGAATATTGCCCTTAAATCCTCCTGAACAGGTGACTTACCTGTGTTTACTGAATTGCAGCTGTTGCTTATTAACAGAATGTCTCTCAAATTAGAAATGGAAGTTATCATAAACATCATCTTTGATCCTTGCTTAGACTTTTTAATATACACAAAAAAAGTTCAAACTTGAAGACTAATTTCTCATAAAATCAAGAAAAAAGTATTCAGCCAAGCTAAGCATCTGTTCTTTAATAGTTTGGCACAAAACACAGGGCTCTTTACATCAGACTCTGAGAAGGGTGGTCTGGTGGAGTCCAAAGCAAATGATAGGCACCAAATTTTGATTTGATTGTGAGATAAAAACTTTGATCCTACTAGCTGATAGAAAGTATGATGAGGCTGTTAACATTGTTGTAAAGGATAGTCAGATTTAAAACTGTTCACTGTAGATTTAGAATTGTTGTATGCATATTGTAGACAATTTGCGCTCACCAGGAGCTTCCTATAGATGTGGTAGAGAAACTACTGAATTTTAAATATATTAAGAAGTGGAGAAACTGTTTCTTGCAGCTGTTTGCTATAACAGTGCTAGAAATAAGGCAGCTCACTGTCCTGACGTGTAGACAAGATACTCTGGGATTTTTTTGACTACTGCTAAATGCCATTTTTGGCCAAAACACATTATGATCTCCAGATTTTAAGTGTGTGCAGAGAGAGAGGAGACTTTTTCCTGTATTTTATGTTTTTAGTACACAAGTAGTTCTCTGAATAAGTACTTCCCATGACTTGTTCTTTACTAGCATTTACTTTCTCTTTAATTTCCCATATTCTGTGTATTTAAGATAGACTGCAGAGTAAATTGAATATTCAGTTCATTTTGTCCAGTTTTTCTTTTAGTGACAGACAAGAGATGTAAATTTATGAATACTGCAAGCCTGGGTATCACTCCCTGCCACTGTGCATGTGAGGTGAGATCTCAAAAATAGAAGTTAATGGCAGTATGATAGTCCTTCTAGCTTTGCTTTATTCATTCTGCTCCTAAGACCATTACTCCCAATTAGAAAGCAATCATTTTTTTGTCATGGATTACTTTTCAGTCCTGTATATCTCAAAGATTGTATTGTGCAGTCCTTAGTTCACTAGTTTTAGTATTATGTCTTTGCTGTATTTATTCAGTGATTCAAGTAACCATCCAACATCTTGAGGTGTTTGGATTTTTTTTTCTTCATAACTCCAGGGAGGCCTTTAAATTATATTTGCTATCCATATGTATAATTTATGACTGCTGTATATTACTAGTCTTATATTCATGTTATATGTGCTGTGCTCTGCTTTGTTATTGAAAATTCTGATGTCTTCATTTAGCCTGGAAGTTCTTCAGGACTTTGTTTTACATGCAAACCTTCATGAATCGAGGTGCCATTCTTTAACCAATACACCATTTTATTACTTCAGCACATTATATGACTAAATATGCAGGATCCGGCCACATAGGTTTTGGTTTAAAAACTGCTTATGTGATGCTTAAAACGTTATCTACTCTATTGGCTTGAAGGGCTAAGCAAATAATAAAGTGAAAGTATTCTCTGCCTAATTATTGTTTATAGAAAAGCAGCAAGTGAGGGATGTACATCTATTCAGTGAATGTTTCATAGCAGTTGCTTGTGGCACACTGTGTCAGAATCTCCTCGTCATGACTGATTTGACTTCCTGTTATGCAGCAGTCAGCCAATCCAGACTTTAGTTACCAGGTTGCCTGAACTTCTTTTGCTTTTATTCCCATGCATCCATTATATTAAATATGTGGGATATTGGAACTTGGTGGGGACAAACTTTTCTGTTAGGATGCACTTCAGATACTGTGGAAAACAGTGACTTAAGTCACCCTCTACATTTATGGTTCCTCAGTACTAGACTAGTAATTACAGTAGTTTGGAAATATGACTCATTTTCTGTTACTGACACATGTCTGTGCTGCAGATGTTAAAATTCTGATGGATTATTTTCTCTCTCTCCCCACCCCCTGTGCCTCATTTGATGAGGATATTTTTGCTTTTGTACCTGGAAACACTAGGAAGTTCCTTGTAAGTCCTTTGGTTTTGTCTCGGGAATAGTTCTTTTTAGTTAACTCTTAAATTTTCCTTTTTTCAGGTTGTGATAAACAACGCAGCTGGAAACTTTATTTCCCCTTCTGAACGACTTTCTGCTAATGCATGGAGAACAATAACAGATATTGTGCTTAATGGTACTGCTTTTGTAACTCTGGAAATCGGAAAGGAGCTCATTAAAGCCCAAAAAGGTATCTTAAGATAAGCACTGTGACATGTTATTACTTGCTTTCCTTGCCTTGCTATTATTATAGTAGTTGGAAAAGAAATACAATTTTTAACATTCTTCTAGAAAGGAACTTCACTATCAGTGAAAACTGTACGTAGGTATCACACAGTAGATCTGGCTAACAATTATTTCATTGTAGCCTTACAGGCCTTACAATTGGATCCAGAAGTCATGAGGTTGAATATAAAAATGGGAGTTCTAGTTGTAAAACATTTTTAAAACTAAAAAAAATAAGGCTTTGTGTAAAACAAGTGCTGTTATTTCTTTTAAGTCTGTGTTGGTTTCATTGAGCAACTGAACATGAGATATTTATTTACATGAACAGCAAGTCAGGATATCCCCTTGAAATTTCCTCCTACTCTTAAATAAGTAAAATTTACAGCTGTGCTATTTGACTAATAGTAGTAGAGAATATTACCTTTGAGATAACTTGAAAGATAATTTCAAAATTGAAATGTGTTAGAGTTTATTTTCCCAGAACCCTAGTTCTAGACTACCTAGGAGTTTAATCCAATATCATAGCTTTACCTTAAAAATATGACAGTTCTTTCTTATACTATTTAGCCAAAGATTTGCTTAACCAGATTATTGTCTTTAAGGGAAAGATAATGTATGCCCTTCTATGTTATTTCATAGATTATATACAAAGAACTGCTTTCATTTTATATTATCTTCCAGTTACAAATTGAAAAACAATGAGAGTGGGGTTTTTTTTGATCAGAATTATATAATCTCAAATTCATTTAAAAGCAGTAGCTGTATTATGGTTTTTCATGTGCCCTCACTTCTGAATCTTGTTTTCTAGGTACAGTCACTGTGTTGCAGTACTACTTTATTATTTGCACTGTATTTCTCTAACTTCTGAATTAGTTGAATTTCTTCAAAACTTCTCTCCGAAAAGTACTCATTGAGTTTATACTATTTAATTATAACAATATAAAGTTAATGTTATTTTGGTAGGTCTGTAACAGTTTTTGTTAGTATATAGGTATGTCCCTCCTATATTTTAGCAGCACATGAAAAAATCATTCCACCATTTTAAAAAATGTTGATATTCCCACATTAGAAACCCGTCCCCAGTTCTGACTTACTGTATAATTACAGCAGACCATTTTAATACTTTGCCTTATGGCCTTCCAGGTTCATGCAGTGTTTCTGTATAGTAATGTGAAATATGGCTTCAAACGTGCTTTTGGCTTTGCTGTTGTGGAATGAAAAACTACTTTCCTTTCTTCCATCCTCAGATTTGGTAAAATTCAGAAGTTATTCACCTTCATGTCATCTCTCTTGCTTTCGCTTCTAAGCTTATAAAACATGTGAATTTCTTTTGCTGTTACTTGCATGCCTTCTTTCTAGGGGATTCCATCTGTAAGTAAGACTTTTTATTTAAGGCTTTCTTTAAGACATGATTTTGCAAGTAAACCAATTGTACCTCTTTGTCCCCTCATTCTCCACCTTTGTTTTCTTCTTACTTGCATGCTTTTCTAATTTTGAGCAGCTACCTTAGTTTCTGATGTGATGGTGATGCTAACTAATGCAGATATTTTAGAGCAGTCTGTGAGGATACTATGAATCTGACAGTTTCTAAAACATTGACACATCCTTTAGGTCTGCAGCATGACCTACATTAAATCTAATGTAAATAATAAAACTTTTCTGCTTTTAGACACCCAAGTTTTTACTGGTATTTAAAAGGAATTTTTATTCTGCTAGTGTGTTACGTATTTTTACAACGAGGGAGAAGTTAATTGCTGAGTTGTTGTCCATTTTATGAATATAGGCTTTACAAATAAAAGTTGTGTATGAACTGAAGCGTACTTTAAACTTCAGAGCTGTAAATTTATCAGTTATTCTTGCTTCTGTATTAGATTCACCTAACTCACCTCTACTTAACTTGTATTTTAAAAAAATCTGTGGTTTAATTCTGTGAAATGTATAATTAGCAATCATCTCTAGATAGCTTCAGAGTTGTTCTGTGGTTTTTTTTCCTTGTGTTGATTTTTCTTTTCAGAGTCTCTCAATGTAGATTACATTTTTATTAGCAGGATCCATGGTTTCTGGATATCTGCTGGCATTTCAATCATGCTTGCTTATGGTTCTTTTTAGTTTCTTTTGTGTAACACTGTAAGTTTTTACCTGAGTTTCTACTTCACATGCAGTCTATCAGTGATGTATATTGTTTTAGAAATACCCCTGGGTAGCTTTTCTAATTAAATTATTTTTAAAATACAGAAAGTAGAACAGTTATTTTAGTTACTGTGGCATAAGTAGTGAACTGTCATCCCTTGTCCTCCATTTCCCAGTTACAGTAAGCTCATACTAGTCATTGACCAGACAGTTGGAATTTGCAGGATTCTATAAAAGAAAGATTAAATAAACAGTTGCAGTTTCCATTATTTTCCAGAATGTTTTTTTGCTAAACCTGTTACAAAATACAGCATATAAAAGAAAGTAGTCTTTTTATAACAGAGTTTGTTGTGATAATAATGGAGAAAGTTATGCAGGTTAACTTCGTAATAGACTCTACTGCAGAAAAAGCTTTTGAAAATGTCTTTAAAAAATTACTTTTTTTCTGCATAAACTTTTACTCAAGGCCTCAACTGTGTCATTTTAAGATTATGCCAAACCTAATCATAAATGCTGATTCCCCCCCCTCAGGAATTGATGAAATTAGGGCAAAATACCTGATTACTGATAACTAGACTAGTGCAGCTTCTGAAAAAAACAATGTAAGATCTTAGGCCTTCACTCCAGTTAGACTGATTTGTGCATTAAATTCATTAATCAGTAGAAGTGTGAGGCTTTAGACCTTTGGAACTTTATCAATAGCTATTTACACTTACCTGAAACAACTCTTAAAAGTCTTGCAAAAGAGGGAACTGAAATAAAAAGGCTTGAAAATAAAGTTTCCAAGACTATATTTCTAAAATGCCTTTTCACAACCCAGAGTGAAATGGCATCCCTAACACTTGAACTGCTAACTTCTATACCACTGATATTACTTTTACCTTAAGTTCAGAGTTTGATCTTCATGTATTTTTGTTTGTTTAGTGTGGGATTTTTTTTAAATGTGTTTGCACCTTCTAGGAGCAGCATTCTTGGCTATTACAACAATTTATGCAGAGAGTGGTTCAGGATTTGTGTTGCCAAGTGCCTCTGCCAAAGCTGGCGTAGAAGCAATGAGCAAGTAAGTAATATAGCAAAATGTGTGCTCTGGTTTTCACATCCTTTAGGTAGAGTAATTGGTGCATAAAAGTGGAGCTAGTTGGTGTAATCCTCCTATTCCATTGTACCATAAAAGATCCCTTCAGGCTCCAGTCTTGTCTTAGCAATATCTTAGTATGCTGACAGCTTCTTACAGAAAAAAGTATTAACTGTTATTGTTGTGATAGTTTCTATCACAAGGCAAAGATACAGACAAGTAGGACTACTCTTTTGGCAATAGCAAGTTCCAAAGTTTCAGTTTTAAAGAATTTTGATATTCAGATTCTCTTGTGTTCTCATAGGTGAACCAACACTTCAAGACAGTTATTAAGGGAACTGTTCAAGGTCTATAGTACCTTGCATGTTCTTTTGTCTCAGGAAAAGATGTACTTGCATTTGGGTACACTATACTGTGGCTTTACCTCTGTTTAGTTTCATCAAGAAATTTGTTTCCTGTCACTATTTTAAATTAAGGTCTGCAGTTATGCTTAATTCAGAACAGTATTGTGTAAGGTATTCATGTTACTCGGCAAACAAAAGGATTTCTCTCATTATTAACTTCACGCTAGTCCATAGCACATAGACCTTCCTCTGCACTTCAGCAGAAGGAATTGAATAGTTTGGCAGCTTTCTGCTAGAAAAGTTACTGCTAGAAATCTTTATCCAGAAAAAAACGAAGGACTGAATAATGATTTTGATTTCTGTTCTATAGAGCTGTAACTGAAATTTGTACTTTTCAGAGACTTTATGACTCAGCTAATTAATTCACCATAGTAAATCATCTATCCAAAATACTTGTTATGCAGACAAAATGTCATAAAGCAAAATTATTTTAGTGGTCCCATATTAGAATGTGTCCTCTGTTTTGTGTTATTTCAAAACGCTCAATGTGAGAGCTATGTTGAAAATGTTAGAAAAGTATACTTGTGGGATAGTCCAAGTAGCCAGAGAAAGATGGTGGCCTAACAGTCGTTTGTCAAGGAATTTAGGTGCTGAAATCATCTGTGATTTTCAGGGGAGTAAGACTTGCTCCTTAATGCTGCTTTATCTAGGATGCATCTATTAAATCAATATTCCTATTTGTGAATGCGTTTTTGTTTTGTTTTTTTTTTTTTCTTCTCTGAAATGTTTTTGTTAAGAACAAGAATAAAACCTTAATAGAAATGCTTGTTTCAGGAAAGTTCTAATGTTTTTTTTCTGAATAGGATTATTAAAATATTGTGTTTAAAATATTGATGCGTTCTGTTAATGAATTTTTAGGTCTCTTGCGGCTGAATGGGGTAAATATGGCATGAGATTCAATGTGATTCAACCAGGTCCAATAAAAACAAAGGTACATAGCATGAAGTAAAACACAGCCTTGAATATGCTTTGTAGTACAGACTTAACTTTAACATAGTCTAACTTTAACATAGTCTTTTCTATAACTGTTAAATTCAAGTATGATTTCCTTGGTAGTCAAGACTCTGCTGGAATATTGAACACGCTTCTCACTCAGATGCTTTTTGTAAGATAGGATTTCTTGAACTTCAGAAATGTGCCACTGCCCTTTCTACTACAGCTGATTTAAACTGAACCCGTTTTAGTGTTTTAGAGAATTTGTATATCAAAATACTTAATGTTGATTCTTATCAACTGTTCGTACCTAGTTTGTCAAGTAAAGTGAATTTGGACAGTTGGTGGAGTAAAGTGCCTGTTTCTGCCTGAACTCCTAATTATTAGACAAAATATTAATTCCAAAATCTCAGAATCTCTTTTAGGTATATGAGAACAGAATCTCACTAGTTTTCTTGAAAATCTCAAAACTAGAAAAACTTAAGTTGGCAAGGAAACGAGAACCTTTGATGTGAGTGAAAAGGAGGACTGGAGGGTTTGAAGGAAGTAATCCAGACCAGCTGGAACAGGAAGAATAAAGAGAGCAGTCCTGCAGGAGGAGAGAGGAGGATCCGTTTCCCATTGAATCAAATTATTACAATTATGAGCAGTAACAGCTAATAATGGTATTGCTACTACCTGTAAAATGTTTCACAGTTGGTTTTACTGTTGTTTTGGGGGTAGGGGTGCAGAGTTGCTTTTCTTTTTACTTTTTCTTTTTTTTTTTTTTTTTTTCTTTTTTTTTCCTTTTCTCCTCTTGTCAGTTTTAGATCCGCTGTACGGCTTAGTTAAAACTCATTTGACTGTAAAGAAAAGCAAATGGCAGAATCAGCAGGGTTATAAGAATGTTGAAATAGCATTATAAGATCAGACCAAAAGTCCACCAGGCCTTGTATCTTGTGGATTTTTAGACAAGAGTAGAAGAAAAACATTTAATAACATTTCTTTGTGTCATCAACCTCTAGCATTCTGGGGATTTTGATACAGTTGGTGTCTCTTCATATTGCAATTATCTTCATAGATTTTATTCTTCCATTACTTGTCCTGTTCCTTTTTGAATCCATATAAATGTTTGGCATCCACTATATCACATCATGAGATCTTTTCAATTTATAAATTCTCATAATTTTTGGCAAGTTAAGTGCTTTAAATGTCAATATTACTACCTCCTGTTAATGTTTCTTATTTAAATGAATAGTGTAAAACACACTTGAAATACTGTGTGTTCTTAATAAAGTACTATATTTGTTGTACTGGTTCCGAGTTCAAATTTCCCTCAAAACATAAAAAGGCTTTACTTAAGACAGCATATTGCAAAATCAAGGTTTTCTGCCTTAGGGGCTGTATCCATTTATCTAAAAAATACTGTTGTAAGTCATGATGGGAAAAGAAAAAGGCATACAAGCTCAATAGCATTAAGGTTATAAACTGGCTTTTAAAAACATGGCAACAGATGACTTAAATGGCATGACTATAGCCATATTTACATAAATTACAGTGTGCTTTAACTCATAACTTCAGTAACAATGTAAATATTACTCTTACATTTTTCACATTAGGAGGTTTTTCCTTGTGGAGGAGCCAGGAAGAACAAAAAAACCTTTCTGTTTTGCATGCCATTTTAAGCTATTCAAATACTAAAACTTCCAGTGGCTTACTTTAGTTCTGGCAATTGCTGCAATTTAACTGAACTTTATCTTTTTTTTTCTTTTCCATTTTATTTACTCTGTCATATGTAATTTATTTCTGGCCACTTTCCTGCTCTCTTCTCCCCTGATTCCTCTCCCCTGTCCCTGCAGCAATTTTGAGTCTTGCTTATTTCTTCAAATGTTTACCAAGGGTGTTTGAGGAATAAAGATCATTAATCCCGTATGTGTTTCACAGGTAGATGATGGGCGAGTATCCCAAAAGTGTCAAATTCCAGCTTATCATCCTCAGTAGTTGCAACAGGGATAAATTGTTTTCTCTTTCCTACTCCCTACTTATTCATGCTACTGACAAAGAGGGTGTAGACAGCTTACTCACAAATGTTATCTTCCATGTTGTGTCTGCGGAGTCAAATCTCTGTTGGATTTTATTTTCTGATGTAGTTATAACTTTAATGTTTCTCGTAATTCTCAGGGTGCTTTTAGCCGCCTTGACCCAACAGGCACATTTGAGAAGAAGATGATTGAGAGGATTCCCTGTGGTCGTCTGGGAACTGTAGAAGAAATTGCAAATCTTGCTGCCTATTTCTGCAGCGACTATGCAAGCTGGGTTAATGGAGCAGTGAGTTTTGGTTGATCTCGTTTATACAATTAATCCCATGATGGTATGAGTTTTGCTGATATTTTTTAAAGCGCTGGTTTCAGAAATGAAGCAAAACATCTTACTTTGAAATCCTTTACAAGTATTATTCACCTTTTGATTGTAGTGCATGGTAGTTAGTACTTTTAAAAAGAACTTTTAAAAGTGATTGAATTGCATTATTTTCAGCATGGGGCTTTCTCACTCAAATCAAGAAAAATTACTTTCACAGTTCATAACAGGGGAAGACTACAGAAAAGCCACTATTACTAAATACACTGTTTATGTTTTTTCTAGGTTATTAGGATGGATGGTGGAGAATATGTTTCTATGGCAGGAGAATTCAATGATTTGAAAAGGGTATTCATTTCCTTTCTTGCTGTTTTACATTCAAACACTCGAATGTGTAATTATTGTATGGAATTCCAATAAAATGCTCCTTTTCTTTTATTAGGTTACCAAAGAGCAGTGGGATATGATGGAAGCAATGATTAGAAAAACAAAAGGCTCTTAAAGTACGTAACTGTATGGTGGAGATTCTTGGAAACGAACCACTGCTTTTTCATTAATATTTATAAATAACCATTTGAGAAATAACCTTCAAAATCTTTTGTATGCTAATTTTAATAAAATTTTTTGAAATTGTTGTATTTTGAATATAGCTTATGTGTTTTTCCCCATCTAAAATCTAATCTGTTGCCAACAGTGAACAATAGTTGGTACCTGAAATTTTACTGTTCTTTAGATTGTCTTACACAGCCGTGGTCTACAGTTAGCTTTTTTTTTATCTTTCAGAGGATTTTTTCCTCAGATATATGCAAGTGTCTCTTAATATTGTAATTTTAATAGTGTTTCAGCACTGTCATAACAGAATGTGATTATTAATCTGAAGAAAAAAAAACCCCAGAATTAAGTCCTAATCTTCACACTTCAATAAAAAGTCATAAACTTACAAGTAAAGTTTCAAGTTATTAGCGGGACTAAATACACTGAGACAGGATGTAACTCCTGTGGTTCCTTACAAAATCTTGAAATGTCTAACTGTCTTGGTCTCATCTTTTGTGACATTTTCAGTCTGTTAATTAGCTTATGCTGAACTTTAAAAATGGCATTTAAGGACCTGAAATGCCTTTCTGAGGAGCTCATTCTTTGTCATGATTAACAGTGTTCTTGAAAATGAGAAACTAAAAATCATTTGCTATTAACATATGTGTGACTAGGGGAGTCTCTCCATAAAAAGTGGTTTGTATAAGACTAGTAATGGACATTGGTAAATTGGAAAGTGTTGCTACTCGTTTGTTGAGATTTAGAAAAAATCCCTAGGTTTCATTTGCATTCACAGACTGGTACTAAAGAAATTTTAAGATGACATTACCTCTGAATCTAGTCAGTTTGTCCATCCCAAATAAGCAGGTGATAAAAAAGTTGCTGTCCCTCTTTTAGTATTATGTTTTCCAGATTAGAGAGTTGCTAGTTGTTTTCCCTCCTGCTTCAGACAGTGGTTGGAATTCTTCAAAGAAATTGTCAGGCTCTGGCCTTTACAACCTGAAATCAATGCCTTTTTAATTTTTTCTTTTTTTGTGTTTAACCAGAGCTCCAGCCTGTCTACACACACAGGTGTGAACTTAGTTTTGTGTGCTTTGAGACTGACACAGTGATTTAAGAGTCCAGACCATAGAAGCAATTCAAGGATGTCTTCCTCCAGGTGCTGGCAGTGCTCATGTATTTTTCCTCACAATTCAGGACATACTTACATATACCAACATCTGGCTTTGAAGTCACTTGATTGCCTTATTACAAATCTGAAGCAAGGTGGTATGTGTTCTGCCTGAAGTGTTGGCTACACTAGTGCAGGCTTCCGTGTGCCAGCTTTCTCCCATGAGTGATGGTCCCGTGGGGGATTGAATCGCGTCTCTGGCACTGATAATAAAAACAAGCAAGTGTGTTTATCATAGTAGCCTTCAAGGTGTCTATTGAGCATAATGCAAAGCTTTTTTGTAGTATCTTGAGTTTGTTAGGCCTACTGTCAAGATTGAGTTCTGACATGATATCCATGTCTTTTCCCCAGAAGAGTGATTTAATTCAGAAGTTAGGCCCATATATACTGTTTTTTGCTCATCATGCTTTGCATATACTTATATTTTCTCTTTGTATGGCACAGTTGCATGGTAAGACTTTGACACTTGAAAAACAAGTGTTTCAGAAAAAAAATTCAAATATATGTTTGTGAGCTGTGGTAACATCAAGTATTTCTCTGCAGTATTTAGTAGGTTATCCTCTGGAGCTGGGCTGTGCATGGTCTGTCCTTTGTTTAGAAAGCAAACTTGGCAGAGCTCATTTTGGAAATGTTTCTCTTCCGCAGCAAAAGCAGTGGGTTCCTATGCAAAAGTACTTAAAGAATGTCAAGGGCTTTTGCAGTTTAAAATGAAGACTGCTTTTTGATCTAAAAATTAAAAAATGAAAACATCTTTTCTTTCATTTTTTACTCATCCGAGAGATTAAGGCCAGCTTTGCATCTGGAAGAAACTCAATTTATAGTGAACCTTTAAGGGAGTGAACTTCCTCAGCAAACCATCAGAGTTACTGCAACATATCCTTAAAGGATGGCAGGAGTTGCTTTATCTGATAAGGTCAAAATATTGAAGGAGGCCTCTTAAAGCTTGTCTTGTAAATAGATACTGGAGATTTATTCAATAACAGAACATTTGTCATTTGCAGAAATGGGTATTTCTTCTGAAGTATCATCTTCTACCTGTTTACTGTTCATAGCTAAATGAATTATTAATTGTAATGTAACAACAAAACATTTTTAAAACATGTGTTATTCAGTGATGGAACCAGAAAGCACATTTTAAATTTTAATGAGCATCTGTAATAAGAACAGACTTTCTTTTATCTTGCCTATACCAGTGACATCCATTTCAAACTGCACAAGTTAGTTGCTTTTAGTTTCTGAACATTCTATCAAGATATATACCATGTGTTGATGCTGATTTTAGAATTGGCATATAATGTTTTAAGAGTTATATGTTACTGGATAGTTTACAAAATATTGCCTAATACATAGACCTGGTTAAGTGAAAAGACTTAACTCTGGTCTTGTCATCCACGTCTGCAGGACAATGGAATAGTCTGACTGGGATGCATTTCTTTCATTAAGACTTGGTAGGGACAGGAAAGGAACATTATAATGATGACATGAATCTTAAACATCTCTTAAACATCTCAAGTTTTTGTTTTGCCTAAATACAATTTAATGTATAAATAAAGGAGCAACGTGACATCCGAGCTCAGGAAAAGAACAAAAGCAAGTGCCTTTATAGCAACTGGTTTGGCTTGAAAATTCCATAAGAATCTGTTCCTAATGCTAATGAGAATTAGACTGTCCTGAAAAGGCATAAAATATCCCAAAAACTCAAGAGGTGCCCAATCCATAAGCATGCTCCACAACTGGGTATTGCACAGTGACTGACATAACTCACAGTTATCACAACTGCTTTATTCCAAAGGTAGCAAAGGTGGCAGGAGATAGTGTCCACATTAAACATGCTGTCTTAGACTGGCATATTTGCCTGAGATTGTTACATTCTTCATGCTATCTGAGATTGCCAGTGAGCTACAATGTAAAGGGAAGTGTGAAAAAAAGTATTTATTTGTGGCATAATCGTTCTATGGAGATGAGGTTGGAGGGACAGGAAGGTGGAGGAATGAGTCAGAAAAGGTGATGGTATACATTGGAGATTGCAACAGGAGTCAGTAGGGTTGCAGAAGCAGTTTAATTTTCATGAATCTTAAGGAAAACTTTCCTGGATTCCAAATACCTTTTTTTAAAATGATTTTTGCATGACCCATCAGTCAAAGGTGTTATCACTTCCATGAATTAAAGTTGGAGATGCCCACAAAGGAGATTCATTGTCTGTTTTTAACTGAAAAGTACATCTTCTCTGCTTGATTAAATCCTGAAATTACCCTTTTTATTTCTGCTGATGATTTACTGTCTTTGAACCTGTCTGTTACAATTTCTTAGATTCAATGCTGTAAGGGCAGTAGAGGCTTATAAACAAGTTATAAAATTCATTTAAGATTGCAAATGAAAGAGACCAGTTGTATTACCTCTTCACTGTGATACTAGAACTGCCGTCAGTCTTTGGTTCTCCTGTTTCTGGCAATTCCCTCCTCTTAAATATTTCAGTTACTGTTGACAATATTGCTAATGGTTTTTAATTCAAGAATTTGCTTTATAAGCAGAAGATGACTCTGAGTGGTGTTCCTACCTGTCCATACTGGCTTCCATGTTCATTGTCACATGAACTGCTCATTTATATTTACTTTTTTTCACATATTGATAACATATAAGTAAAGACACTGAATTGTAAGGAAGTTTGTGCCTTTATCTGACTCCATGGAGCGTCTTGTGTTGTAACTGCTAAGCATGTAATCCCACTTCAACCAGGGTAACCCCACAGTCTTTTATGTGATTGTTTAATATGCAGTAAAATAGTCTGGGATTTCAGTACACCGGTGTGCACACGGTGCAGAACAACTTCAGTTGATTTCAGAGGGATTTGGATGTGCTCGGCATTTCAGAAATTCGGGCCAGTTATATTTGGGTGCCTGAACAGGGATTCTGTGCTTCCTCATAGACTCTGTAAGTCAATGTGGATTTCAGTTTGCCTCCATAACCAGGGATTATAACGATGATTATGATGAGGGCTTAGTATAAATCAGAAAAAGCAAACCTTGTGTAACGAAACGAAGACTTAATCCAAGTTTAAGTGGAGTTCAGCAGCAGCATGTATGTATCTCGTTCATTGGCGAGGTTCATTTTGCATAAAAGCGCTGCTGACTGTCAGTATCCTGATCTGTATTTGACATTTTACCATGGAATGTGCTGTTCTGAAATTTTGTAAGCTTGTGTGGGTAATCTTTTTAAAGATGCATAACTAAATTGTAAACAGGGAGGATTAGATCAGTGCTGTGTACTGTACATGAACTGTTGAGGATAGAACAGTGCAGCAGTGAACGAACAAAAACCAAATTACTTCGAGATCTATGTTCAATCCCAGTTAAGTCATCGGTGAAAATTCACATGATATTCTCCATAATGGTCAGCTGGGCAGTGTTAGTGACCCCTGAGGTGGGCTGATGGACAGTGGTGTGGGCACAGCTAGAAGCAGGCACTCACTTTGCCTGACCCCGGTACTGTTAAGGTTTACTTCTGTCAGCAAACACTGCATTTATAATGCCAAAGATTTATGAAGGGCCTAATAGTTACTGTTCTTGTTTTTTTCTTTCAGTATTACTGAAAATTTGCTGGCTTGTGCTTTAAAATTATTTGAAAATCACCTTCTTAGACTTGAATACCTAGCACTGCGTTAAATTTTAGTCTGTACACATTTAAACTAGAATGGGCTAAAATTTTTTACAGCATATGTGTAATTTATAGGACAGTTTGAGCATTTGTTAGCTTGAATGCTTATTTGAATGTTTATTTTAATAAAACACGTATTTTTAGACAGCAGAAATGGTTAATAGCTTCAATAAAGTGGAACCCAGGTAGCTCTGTGTTAGTCAGTTTCTCTGTTTAGCTGAAATATGGAATATTTGCACCACATCTTTTTGCATGCTGCAGTTTTACTTTTCTTTGGTCACCAGATATCTACCAGAAGAAAAAAGCTTGCAGTCTTCCCTTTCACCACCTTTCTTTTTATTCTAAGCCTCATTCTGCCCCAGCCATGACATTTTTAAAAGCTCTGCCCAGGAGTGATTTAGAGAATTTAAAACCTGGAGTTTTTACAGCAGTTTTGACTTAGCCATACTTGTCAGGCTTTCCTTTGCACTGACATAGTAGGCACCTTTGCTAGAACTGAGGTTTTTAATTGCTGCCTTCTAGTC